TTTGTCTGTCTCCTTGAGACTCTTTGTCTGTCTCCCTGTGACTCTTTGACTGTCTCCCTGTGACTCTTTGACTGTCTCCTTTTGACTCTTTGACTGTCTCCTTGAGACTCTTTGACTGTCTCCCTGTGACTCTTTGACTGTCTCCCTGTGACTCTTTTACTGTCTTCTTGAGACTCTTTGGCTGTCTCCCTGTGACTCTTTGACTGTCTCCCTGTGACTCTTTGACTGTCTCCCTGTGACTCTTTGACTGTCTCCTTGTGACTCTTTGACTGTCTCCTTGAGACTCTTTGACTGTCTCCTTGAGACTCTTTGACTGTCTCCCTGTGACTCTTTGACTGTCTCCTTGAGACTCTTTGACTGTCTCCCTGTGACTCTTTGTCTGTCTCCTTGAGACTCTTTGTCTGTCTCCCTGTGACTCTTTGGATGTCTCCTTGAGACTCTTTGACTCTCCCTGTGACTCTTTGTCTGTCTCCTTGAGACTCTTTGACTGTCTCCCTGTGACTCATTGGCTGTCTCCCTGTGACTCTTTGACTGTCTCCCTGTGACTCTTTGACTGTCTCCCTGTGACTCTTTGACTGTCTCCTTGAGACTCTTTGACTGTCTCCCTGTGACTCTTTGGCTGTCTCCCTGTGACTCTTTGGCTGTCTCCTTGAGACTCTTTGACTGTCTCCCTGTGACTCTTTGACTGTCTCCCTGTGACTCTTTGGCTGTCTCCCTGTGACTCTTTGGCTGTCTCCCTGTGACTCTTTGACTGTCTCCCTGTGACTCTTTGACTGTCTCCTTGAGACTCTTTGACTGTCTCCCTGTGACTCTTTGGCTGTCTCCTTGAGACTCTTTTACTGTCTCCCTGTGACTCATTGGCTGTCTCCCTGTGACTCTTTGACTGTCTCCCTGTGACTCTTTGACTGTCTCCTTGTGACTCTTTGACTGTCTCCTTGAGACTCTTTGACTGTTTCCCTGTGACTCTTTGCCTGTCTCCTTGAGACTCTTTGACTGTCTCCCTGTGACTCTTTGACTGTCTCCTTGTGACTCTTTGACTGTCTCCTTGAAACTCTTTGACTGTGTCCCTGTGACTCTTTGTCTGTCTCCCTGCGACTTTTTGACTGTCTCCTTGTGACTCTTTGACTGTCTCCCTGTGACTCTTTGACTGTCTCCTTGTGACTCTTTGTCTGTCTCCTTGTGACTCTTTGGCTGTCTCCTTGAGACTCTTTGTCTGTCTCCTTGTGACTCTTTGGCTGTCTCCTTGAGACTCTTTGTCTGTCTCCTTGAGACTTTTTGACTTCCCCGTTGCAGTCAGCCGTTAAAAAAATCCCGTAAATCTTGAACGTAATTTAACGTAAAGATAATTGATTAAATATTGACAGGCAATGGATCACTATGGTGTGTCTTGACAACAAACTGCATTGTTAGAGACTAAGGGTCGACACAAACTAAATAGACGCAGTTCATTCCATCACCTATTTTGTTAATTTTAGTGAGAATGTGTGGTTGTTGTCGTCTGCTGCGTACCCGCGGCTGTGTTTGTGTACAAGTAGCTCCGACAAGGAGATCATAAGAAGTGCCTCATCTGCTTCATCTTTTAAAGGTTGCCAAGCCCTGCTCCGGCACAATGCAATGCATCGACGAGCAGTTGCGCAATACATCGCCGCTCTATAACAGTGTCGTTGTGTGGCCACGACGAACAACCCCCCCCCCCCACCCGTAGCCTCAACAGACTGTAGGGGGCAAGTTTTGTTAGCGAGTAGCACCCACAGTGAGGAAAAAAAGTGTTTGATCCCCTGCTGATTTCGTACGTTTGCCCACTGACAAAGAAATGAGCAGTCTATAATTTTAATGGTAGGTTTATTTGAACAGTGAGAGACAGAATAACAACAACAAAATCCAGAAAAAACCCATGTCAAAAATGTTATGAATTGATTTGCATTTTAATGAGGGAAATAAGTATTTGACCCCTCTGCAAAACATGACTTAGTACTTGGTTGCAAACCCTTGTTGGTAATCACAGAGGTCAGACGTTTCTTGTAGTTGGCCACCAGGTTTGCACACATCTCAGGAGGGATTTTGTCCCACTCCTCTTTACAGATCTTCTCCAAGTCATTAAGGTTTCGAGACTGACGTTTGGCAACTAGAACCTTCAGCTCCCTCCACAGATTTTCTATGGGATTAAGGTCTGAAGACTGGCTAGGTCACTCCAGGACCTTAATGGACTTCTTCTTGAGCCACTCCTTTGTTGCCTTGGCCGTGTGTTTTGGGTCATTGTCATGCTGGAATACCCATCCACGACCCATTTCCAATGCCCTGGCTGAGGGGAGGAGGTTCTCACCCAAGATTTGACGGTACATGGCCCCGTCCATCGTCCCTTTGATGCGGTGAAGTTGTCCCATCCCCTTAGCAGAAAAACACCCCCAAAGCATAATGTTTCCACCTCCATGTTTGACGGTGGGGATGGTGTTCTTGGGGTCATAGGCAGCATTCCTCCTCCTCCAAACACAGCGAGTTGAGTTGATGCCAAAGAGCTCCATTTTGGTCTCATCTGACCACAACACTTTCACCCAGTTGTCCTCTGAATCATTCAGATGTTAATTGGCAAACTTCAGACGGGCATGTATATGTGCTTTCTTGAGCAAAGGGACCTTGCGGGCGCTGCAGGATTTCAGTACATCACGGCATAGTGTGTTACCAATTGTTTTCTTGGTGACTATGGTCCCAGCTGCCTTGAGATCATTGACAAGATCCTCTCGTGTAGTTCTGGGCTGATTTCTCACCGTTCTCATGATCATTGCAACTCCACGAGGTGAGATCTTGCATGGAGCCCCAGACCGAGGCAGATTGAAAGTTATTTTGTGTTTCTTCCATTTGCGAATAATCTCACCAACTGTTGTCACCTTCTCACCAAGCTGCTTGGCAATGGTCTTGTAGCCCATTCCAGCCTTGTGTAGGTCTACAATCTTGTCCCTGACATCCTTGGAGAGCTCTTTGGTCTTGGCCATGGCGGAGAGTTTGGAATCTGATTGATTGATTGCTTCTGTGGACAGGTGTCTTTTATACAGGTAACAAGCTGAGATTAGGAGCACTCCCTTTAAGAGTGTGCTCCTAATCTCAGCTCGTTACCTGTATAAAAGACACCTGGGAGCCAGAAATCCTTCTGATTGAGAAGGGGTCAAATACTTATTTCCCTCATTAAAATGCAAATCAATTTATAACATTTTTGACATGCGTTTTTCAGGATTTTGTTGTTGCTATTCTCTCTCTCACTGTTCAAATAAACCTACCATTAAAATTATAGACTAGTCATTTCTTTGTCATTCGGCAAACGTACAAAATCAGCAGGGGATCAAATACTTTTTTCCCTCACTGTACATGTAGGCCGGCACGGCACACGAAGTATGTGGGTGGCCAGCACCACGCCCGGCCGCCTTTGCATCCCCAGTGGCGATGTTTGAGGCCGAGTCGACCTAGGGGAGGTCCAGGACGACCTCAGACAACCGTCACTGATGTTGGCCGTGATCGGGAGTCGAGCTCGGCTCGCCGGGTTCGGAGCGCAGAGCAGCGCTAACCGCTGCACCACCGCTCCCCACAACCCTACCAGCAACGCCCCGTTACACGGAGCATCGCCGCTCCGTCTGCACGACAGCCGATCGACCATGCGACTCGCAGAGAGCACACCGACGTCATCGGCCGCGGTCGATCCACTGCTGGATGGAGGCCTCCCCAAACCGCCACCACCTCTCGCGAGCGTGCGACGTCATTCACAAACCTCCCCGGCATCCGCACTCGAGACAATTCCATGGCTCCGTCTCCTGCCGTCGCCACCATCCCCCTCCCATTGCTGCCACTCCGTAGCAAGTCCGTCATCCGTTGTCAGCGACGCGTCCTGCCCACGCCCAGCTCAGCTTCCCTGAACCGTTGGAACGTCGCGTTTCACCGTAACACGCGATTCATAAGTTTACTGTTTTGTTGTTGTTGTTGAGTCAGATCGCCGCGTGAGTGAAATGTGTGTCGTGCACCCTCCTCCACCCGAAACACAGCCAGGTAATGAATGCACGCGTCACGTGATCAGCACTGCCGGTGCTGCTCACGCGGTGATCACACGTCGGGCACGTTTGTTCACCACGTGACCACTTTAGTTAGTGGGTGCGTCGGGTGGCGGAGGGAGTACGACACACGGTTTTTAACTTACGTGGTCTGACCCAACAATCTATTATTATATTATTGTTCACGGTGCGTTTAACCCACGTAATGCGTCTCCAACACACATGTACTATCTTCATCTCAGCATCCGTGGGTGCCACGGTGGCCAGATGTTAACTGCCTCGCCTGGTACACAGGAGGTCGTGGATTCGATCCCGACCCTGACGCCTGCTGCTGCTGTATATTTGGAGTTTGCGGTGTCTCTCTCTCTCTCTCCGTGGTAGCGTGGATTTATCTCAGAGTCCTCCGGTTTTTCCCCTCCACGTTCAGAATCAACACCACCACCACCACCACGCGTTTAGAGTGTCTGGCTGCTGCTGTCAAGGTCCACGTGATAAGCCCACTTCGTTGAGCCGTCACTTGTGATAGCCAGGTCGCTTCTGAAAAAAATCTGTAAAGCTCAGTGGGGGGCTTACCTGGTGAAATAAAATAGTTTCTAGTTCTATACTTTTAGAACGTAAGTGGCGGTGACGTCACCACGGCGCTCGTGCCAGGCCAGGTGCACTCCGAGGCCACGTGAGACCACTGCGTGCATTCGGCCACACGGCTGAGTGTCTCACTCAACATTTTCCCCCCCGGAACCTTCTGCCAGCTACCATTAGAACGCAAGTTACATCAGTCTATAACAATAATAATCATACCCTATTAATAGTACACACACATTTTCGTGTCATTCTATGAACGCGGTTCGCTACGTACTGTGCGAAAGAAGATCAACGTATGTACCTTACAGGTCAATATAATGTTGGTGCAGTATACATACACGCAGAAGGAGCTCGCACACACACACTCGCATGCAGTATACATACACGTGCGGTGAGCAGAACCCTCGATGCTTCTGCTGCCTGTGGCCGTGATGTCCTTGCTACCGGCGCTGATGATGCTGATGATGCTGCTGATGATGATATTGATGGCTTTGTTGATCTCGATTCATGCCCTGGTGCGCGAGATCCGCAGTAGGTCCGCGGTGCATGTCCTGAGTCCACGTCTCGATCCTTCTTCTATAGCTCCTCCTCGTCCTCCTCCTCCTCCTCGGCGGATCGGAGCTCCGTCTCGTCTCGAGGATCGACGTGGAGCGCACCCCGAGCTCACGTGCGGCGCGCGGGAGGACGAGCGCGCACGCGAGCCAGCCTGTGCGTCTCGGCAATCAAAGGTGTGTGTGTGTACGTGTTTGTGTGTGCACGTGTGTGTGTGTGTGTGCACGTGTGTGTGTGTGCACACGTGTGTGTGTGTGTGTGTGCACGTGTGTGCACGTGTGTGTGTGCGTGTGTATGTGTGCGTGTGTGTGTGCACGTGTGTGTGTGTGCACGTGTGTGTGTGTGCACGTGTGTGTGCACGTCTGTGTGTGCACGTGTGTGTGTGTGCGTGTGTGCACGTGTATATGTGCACGTGTGTGTGTGTGTGCACGTGTGTGTGTGTGTGGGCAGGCGCGCGTGTGATGCAAGATTTGGGTGCGCACGAGTGTGTGTGTGTGGTCCCCTAGTGTATGTGTGTGGTCCCCTTGTATGTGTGTGTGGTCCCCTAGTGTGTGTGTGATCCCCTAGTATGTGTGTGTGATCCCCTAGTATGTGTGTGTGTGTGGTACCCTAGTGTGTGTGTGTGCACGAGGGGGTGTGTCAGTGTGTGTCTGTGTGCGTGCGCTAACGTGAATGTGCCCGAGTGTGTGCGCGCGCGCGCGCTCGTGTGATGAGTGCACACACACACACACACGCGCGCGCTCTGACACACGTGTGTGTGTGTGTGCGTGCGTGCGCGCGCGCGCGCTAACGTCAGTGTGCACGTGTGTGCGTGTGCGCGCGCGGGGGGTGGTGGTGGGGGGGGGACATCATGACACGGGATTCCTCCTCTGACGTCATTGGGGTGCAGGGAGCTGCGGGCCGTGGACGGGGGGCGGGTGGAGGGGAGTGAGAGGCGCCGGGGGGGTTGGTGGAGGGAAGAGGATGAGAGGGGTGTGGTGAGTGGAGGGGCGATTGGAGAGGGGTGGAGGAGGAGGAGTGACGGGGTGGGTGGGGGGGTAGCTGCGTGGTTGTTGGAGGAGGGGGGGTGGAAAAAGAGGCCACCGCAAAAATGGAAACAGCAGCAGCAGCAGCGTGGCAAGCGGCGGTGACGCGTGGCGGCGCGTGCCGACCCCCCCGCTGTGTGGGTGTGTGTGTGTGTGGGGGGGGGGTCGTGGATCCAATCGCAGTGGAGAATTTTCGGACCGGTTCTGCGCTTCCCTCGAGCTCGGCTCAAGCCTTAAATGATGAGCGATCCGGTGCGGTGCGTCAAAACGTTCTGCGCTGGGGAGACAAAGGCGGCCGGGCGTGGTGCTGCTGGCCACCCGCCCGCCCGCCCGCCGGCGTGGGCCTTCACAGGTCCTCGCTAACATCAGTGATAGACTGGTCGCTTCCCATAGCTCAGAGGGCTTTACCTGTTCTCGTGATTTGCTTACGTTTCCGACACTTTGCACTCCGATCGTGTGTTTGTACTGTTTGTTTGTTGTTGTTGTTGTTACGTTCTGACCCCGTGCCCCTACTGGGCATCTGTGGAGAAAAAAAAGAGCTTCACAGCTCATCGGATTCCTCCTGCAGTATAAATAAACATTGCGAGTCTGTATCGTGCAGCGCGATCATTAAGACCAGCAGGGAGGAGGAGGAGGATTTGTTTGTGTGTCGAACCCCTTGCGACCTCGTCTGCGACAGACGAGGTCGCATTTTAGACGCGATATGAAAGCGCATTGAAGATTGCGATGGAGCGCAGATCGGTCGGGACCCTCCTGAGAAGGAGTCCCGAGTCTCGGGCGGGCTTTCCCCGGATGAACAGAAGGCCACCGCGGGGTTTATTCTGTAGGTCACAGCGGAATGTGTCGCACCACGCAACTTCGTCTCCCTTCGCCGGACCACATCCAGAAGTGAGAAGTCCACAGTGGCACGACGTGGCACCGACCCCTCTCTCTCTCTTCCTTCCAAGTCGCTGCTGTTTACCTGCTGGAGTGGTAATGGCCGGTGAGTTGGAATTGCCTCTTGAGCGGCAGCCAACGGAAGGGGGTTCGGAGCATCCATCGTGGAGATGGAGCGCTGGGATCAGCTGGCGTGCAGGAGCTGGGAGGATTGCTTCGTCGCGATGCCCGTGAATAATGGCGAAGGTGGCGGCTTGGGGGAGGCCTTCATCCAGCAGTGGATTGATCATAGCTGCTGCTGCTGCTGCTGGTGGTGATGGTATTGATGAACTGTGCTTCGTGAGCTTGTTCAGAGAGGACACACAGAACACTCAGAGGAGGGCGGCTCTACCCAGCCAGTGGGCGCCGCGAGATGTTAACTCCCTCGCCCGGTATGCAGGAGGTCGTTGGTTCGATCCCGACGCCTGCTGCTGCTGCATATTTGTAGTTTGCGTGTCTCTCTCTCACGCGTGGATTTTTCTCCGGGTCCTCCGGTTTTCCCCCTCCACACCTGACACAAGCCTCTTCGTCGGGCTATCATTTGTGAGAGCCAGGTCGCTTCTGCAATAGCTCAGCGGGCCGCCTTACCTGGTAAAATAAGTAAATAAACAGCTGTATAGTTTTAGTCGAAACGAACCCTAACCGTGGACGCGAGCCAAGGCAGCGGTGCCCATCGCTCCATCGCCACTCGCGTCAAATACCGAGCCTCCGTTGTGTTGACGAATAATAAGAATAATAGGAAGTACGGAATGGGGGAGCAGGTGCTTCAGCAGTGGGGGGCTGAGCCCCCTTTAGATCCACAGCCCCTCCCCCCCGCGCTTTGGGGCTGAATGGCGGTGATGATGATGATGAGTGGTGATGATGATGAGTGGTGATGATGATGATGAGTGGTGATGATGATGAGTGGTGATGATGATTAGTGGTGGTAATGATGAGTGGTGATGATGATGAGGAATGGTGGTGATGATGAGTGGTGATGATGATGAGTGGTGATGATGAGTGGTGATGATGATGAGTGGTGATGATGAGTGGTGGTGATGATGAGGAATGGTGATGATGATGAGTGGTGATGATGATGATGAGTGGTGATGATGATGATGAGGAATGGTGATGATGATGATGAGTGGTGATGATGAGTGGTGATGATGAGAGGTGATGATGAGTGGTGATGATGATGAGTGGTGATGAGTGGTGATGATGATGAATGGTGATGATGATGAGTGGTGATGATGAGTGGTGATGATGATGATGAGTGGTGATGATGATGAGTGGTGATGATGAGGAGTGGTGATGATGAGTGGTGATGAGTGATGATGAGTGGTGATGAGTGGTGATGATGATGAGTGGTGATGATGAGGAGTGGTGGTGATGAGGAATGGTGGTGATGATGAGTGGTGGTGATGATGAGTGGTGGTGATGATCCCACTTGGGCACCACGAGCAGACATTATTTTTGTGGTTGTGTCACGTCACTAAAAACTTGCGGGACAAGCTGCACAATTTAATTGTCACAGCCGAATACAATCATGAAGGCACGAATTACAAAATCATTTTATCAGTCTTATGTGGAACGTTATCCTTAAAAAGACAGGGATCTGGCCTCGAGCTGATATTCGGGGCACCCATATTTTGGGGCCCTACTATTGTTGCTGACTGTTCACTTGCTTAGCACCACTCACTGATGAACGTCGTGATGATGATAATGATGATAGGCAATGCATTCACGGGAAAGTGTTGGCGTTTTGTTTACATGTTCTTTTGTAAAGAGCCGAGTCTTGGCTAATAATGGTACCGTGGTGCACTCCGATCTTGCCGCATGAATCCTACACGTTTACTTTGCTTGCTTACGGCGACTGCTTTCCATCATTTTGTTATGAGTATCTTGAGATCGAATTGTATATATTTATTTAAATTCATGAATCCTGGTCCTCTTGAAAGCCACTTGGGTGTAAACCCTCTACATTGCGTCGCTCAGTGAACTCTGAATGATGCCCGATGATGGCACAGCAATACCCCAATGTACGTCTCTCGGCCCTTCACGTCGTCACTTGATGAGTAACACCGCCACCTGCGTCGCCTCAACCCCCACACTCACGTCGCTGACAGCGGCATCGTCGTCGTCGGCCGTGCTGTCTCGTTACGCGTCGCATCTCAACCTTCGCCTCCACCACCACCACCACCCACCACCACCACCACCCCCCCCACCCACCACAACCACCCACCACCACCCACCACCCACACCCACCACCCAACAACCACCACCCTCCACAACCCCCCACCACCCCCCACCCACCTCCACCACCACCCACCAACCACTACCCACCACCACCCACCACCACCACCACCACCCACCACCACCACCCACCACCACCACCACCCACCACCACCCACCACCACCACTACTACTACTTACCCTGTAAGTCGCTTTGATTTGCGTCGTTTCGATATTCGTCGTCGCACCTTTTGGGAACGCATCCCCCCCCCCCCACGTTAACCGGGGTACCAGGGTGAAAGTAAACACTGCGTGGCATTGCGTGGCGCGTGGCTGGCACGAGTCCAGCAAGGCGTGTGATGGTGCTGGTGGTGGTGCTGGTGGTGGTGGTGGGGTTGCTGTTCTTGTGTCGGTGCAGCGCTCAGCGCTACGCTGCGCTACGAACCCGGCGACCCGAGTTCCATTCCCGCTCACGGCCAACACCGGCGACTATTATCCGCAGCGGTCCCGGGCCTCCCCTAGGTCGCCTCGGCCTCAGACGAGTACCTGGTGCGGTGTGTAAACATCGCCACTGGGGAGACAAAGGCGGCCGGGCGTGGCGCTGGCCAGTCCCACTCTTCGTGTGCCGTGCCGGCCGTCTTGTCGGTGCCGCTCGCTCACAGCCCCTGCCCCGACTGTCTCTGTGTCCCGGGTGTGCGTCACTGCAAGGCCCGCGGGCCACTGGCGACCCCTGGTGGCCTTTGGTGTGGCCCACTGACGTGCCCCCCCCCCCCCCCAACACACAGTGACAACACCGCCCCCCCCCCCAACACAGTGACAACACCGCCCCCCCAACACACAGTGACAACACCGCCCCCCCAACACAGTGACAACACCGCCCCCCCAACACAGTGACAACACCGCCCCCCCAACACACAGTGACAACACCGCCCCCCCGCAACACACAGAGACAACACCGCCCCCCAACACACAGTGACAACACCGCCCCCCCCAACACACAGTGACAACACCGCCCCCCCCCAACACACAGTGACAACATCGCCCCCCCAACACACAGTGACAACACCGCCCCCCACCCCACAGTGACAACACCGCCCC